GCTCCTGAAGAAGAAAGGTCAACCTTTCGAAAGCACTCGGGTTATAGGGTTTTTATGATATTGTATCATTATACCGTTGAAAGGGTTTACGCAATTAACAATAAATATTCTTAAAACAAATCCTGAAGAAAGGTTTATACAGACAGTAAAGAAAAAAAAAAACAATCTACATAATTCATTTAATGTCCCAGTGTTGAAATAAATAGCAAATACAATCTTTGATGTGAAATATCTGACATTTTTCGACGAGCTGTATGAGTGTCTTAATATGAGTTTTGGTGTTAAATGATTTAACCGATCTAGCATAAGAGCATACAGACTTTTATTCTAAATTCTGCCACTGTACTTTACCTTTAGAACTACTAATGTTCGATTGTGACAAACACAAGGAAAGCTACTAAGCCGGTTCGTTTAATTCAATTGAAGGACATTCTTTAGGATATTTTATAAACAAACTAAGAGAAGGGAGCTTAACTGTTTTTACCACAGCAGGGTTCAGTTTATACACGTTGTTTAGTAGAAACAATGCGCTAGCGATAAAATAACTAAAAGAAGGTTTAATTTTTCGTGGTTTTTACTTCGATAATTCTATGTCAGATTTTTAGTATAAAAATTGAGTGAAGGTGTTGGGTAGACAGAATAGAACGAAGTTTTCAAAATGTAGTTCTCGTGTAGAACACCGTAAATAGTTCTTTTTCTCATCTATTTAAGTCTTGGAAACCAAAGAAAGCTTATATTTTATTTAGACTACAATACTTTCTCCATATCATGCTTATGATATTTATTTCAATTTTTAAAATATAAAATTAATGGAATGGATCATAGTATAGTCTAAAATTAAATACAATTATTTCTAGTTTGCATTAAAACGGGATGATTACTATTCTACAGTTCACTACAGATCTTATTTTTTCTCATGTGTTCTGTGATCACATCTCACGAACTCGTTTGGATAATTTCATACTACAAGTCACTTAAGTTTAAACGCCGAAGTATGTAAGTTTCTAACCAAACTACGTTGTATGACCAAAGAGTCAGTCTTGCAGATCCTTTTGAGATTTCACAGTTAATGCTATAGCTTAAACCGATAGGGTATCTTTATATTTATTAAACTTAAAATACATTCTTCTGTATTCTCAACTGAAAAAATAGACGATGCTCTCGCTTCTCTTAGAAATATTTGAAATTATTCCCAGTAACATAAGAGATTTAATGATAAACAAATATGATATTCCATAGCAATACTGGAGCTGTTATCATTAAAGTGTAGGTTAGCTCTTATTGTTGGAAGTATATATTCGTAAATGACTCGTACGTCAGGTTAAACCTTTTGAAAATCTAATTGATTTTGAATACCTATGCTCAAATGCATCATTGAATAACCTTTAATAATGTATTTTTGTTTTCTTTATAATACATTGTTGTTATTCATGTAATATTTACAAAGTATTATACAATAAATTAATATAATAAAGTATGTTTGTTTGGAATTAAGCACAAAGCTACATAATGGGCTATCTGTGCTCTGCCCACCACGAGTATCGAAATCCGGTTTCTAGCGTTGTAAGTCCGCAGACATACCGCTGAGCCACTGGGGGGGGGGGCAATATAATGATGGTGTTAGAAAAATTTATTAAATACGTTTTTTTTTGTGTTTGAAGAAACTACAGATCAGCGAAAAAGCAAACATGTCACAATTAGAGGAAAACTGCTTTATTTCATCAAGCAGCATTTCATGATGATGGATTTATTATCCAATGAAAGTCTTCCTTTCTTGTGGAAATGAGAATCTATGAGGTTTCATAGATTCAGCAAATATAGATATAAATGTGCAATAAATCTCTTACTTGGTAAGTAATATAGTTACCAATCAAACGAATCAGTCACACATTTACTAGGTTCTCTTACTGATTTACTTGTTTTGTCTGGGCTACGCAAGTAGTACAATATGTAATATGCAGTTGTTCAACCGTAGCGAGATGGAAATCATATTATTAACTGGTAAACGCTGTACAAGTTGGAATGAGAACTATGTCTGAATACAGAACTTACCGATTACGGTTTAAACACCAGAACCGGCGAAATATTGAAAAACCAATAAGCCTTAAAATGTTTTCAAAAACACATTTTTAAATTACAGATATATAGACATTGATGCTTTCGTCTCAGAGTATCCTTACTTTGCTTACTTAGCTTTTGATAAGTATGTAAGTAGTAATAGTAATATTTACAGGAATTGAAATTTAAAATGTTGTTTTTTCTCGCTAGTTCACATTTTTTGAGCATGTGCAATCATAAATGGCGTAACAAATTTAAAAGTTGGGGCTGAGATGTATAGGCCTACACGTACACGTAAATACTAGCGATCTTATATATATCTGTTTGTAATTTTGTAGGAAGAGCGGGTACAGAAATACGTTATGTGTAGTCAGCTTTTATTGGATACACCGTCTAACCTCTCCTTCTTCTTGATACGTCACACTGACATGCACAAAAACGTAACTTTTTAGTTGTTTGCGAGCGATCATATTGTGTCCAATATTGGGTTTCTGCTGGAGATACAATGAATTCTTGTGTTTCAGTTCATAAACGTATAGATGTTTGATGATGTCTCAATTCACGTGCTCACAGGTACAGATGGAACAGAATGTTCATGTCATTAACAAGTAACATCACTTTGTTATATGAAAATTCCCCTAATGCTATTTTTCACGCTCAGTCCCTCATTCCAATTTTTAATATAGGTCTATAGAAATATTTTTGTGTCATGAAAAGAGGGGAGACTACATCCCACCATGGCAATATGGAGGTTGTAGTATTCAGGTGTTGGTCTAAATCTTGCCTGCACATTGAATATAAGTGCATTTGTAATCATAGTTACACGATGTTGAAGTTGGTATACTTCTCTCTATAACTGTCAGTATACGTTTTCAGTCTAGTATATAGTTTTTCATAGCAACGAAAAGTTGATTCCCACTAATGTGCATGAAATGTGAGGGTCATTATAAGCTTGCACAATAAAATAATTGAAAGGTTGGTATTCAGTTTTTAAAGTCAGGTGAGTATCTAATTATATTTTATGAGCTGAACAATATCTGATTTAAAAAAATATAGTGTTGTTAACAATTTAAAATATTGGAATAGTTTACCTGTTCTTTCAAGCCGAGAGTACAAAAATGTGAATTGACAACCAAGGGAGGGCAAGTTTAATGGTAAAGAGCAAAAGTGTTTATTACAAAACCACATCGATGTATACCTAGTACGAGTGCTAATTTATTAAATACTCAAATATGTAATCTTTGTAACTACAAATATTCGTTAATACCAATGTTTCTTTTCTAGAGAAGGATCTTTCTCGTTTAAACTTTGTGATGTATCAAAGGCACACTGTAGGTTACGTTTATATTAATGTAAGCATAGCACAGTAAATACCTTAAAACAGATGGAAAAGGCTAATAAAAAGAATAGATGATTAACATTTTAAAAATAATCATTCTTGTTATTTAAACTGAAAAAAATGAAATCTAACGATAATACGTTTTGCTTTTATCATACCTGCTGTTTTTTTACTTGACTTGGACTTCACGTTTACTTGAGAAGCGTGCTTACTCGCCTTAATTGAAATTTCAAGAGGAAATCGGATTAATGCAAAGAAATAGACGTTTATTTCAGATATTAACCCTGTCAAACATTAGTTTCGGTTTTATTTTCAATTTCAATTCAAGATAACTAAATGTTCCATTGAAGTGTTATTTACTAAGTGTCACAGAATGAAAACAAGTTTTCCTCCTGTTGCACTTCTTTAAAAGAAACTCGTATTAGGCTGGAGATGGTTTTAAGAAAGAATTTCAAAGATTGCTCAATAAAAGCTAATTATGTAACTCAAAAAAATCTATTGAGTGGATTTTTAAATAAAAAGTTACGTTAGATTTTGTCGTACGATAGCAACGATCTAACATAGCATGGGTACTAGATCAGCCATATAAAATAAGTAAAGAAAGACCGATAAGGTCAGATTGTGTTAAACTATATAACATTTGTTCTTCTGCTTGACCAACTTTGTAATATGACAAGATAATTTTCATTATTTGTATCTACTTTTTACTGCTACGTACAGATTATAGTTTTTTCTCATATATCAGTAGTGGAAAAGCAAAGATCAAGTAACCTTCAGCTCTTTGAAGTTTTTCTTCTACTAGTCACAATGAAGATTTCGCCAGAATGTAGAATATGAAGTCGCATCTTGATATACATATATTGACATAAAATGAAGTAGAAAGGCTTAAAATAGTCGTATAAATTACCGCAAAATTTGTAACACAAAAGTTAGATTAATTAAGAATACTGAAGCAATTTTATGTTTAATTTTTCTTTTAATTTTATAATATGGAATTTTTCTTTATTTCAATATCCTTATTTTTTTGTTATTAATCATAAAGCTACAGAATGGACTATCTGTACTGTGACCACTGCGAGTACAGAAACCCGATTTTTAGCGTTGTAAGCCATCAGAATTACCGCTGAGCCACTGGGGAACTCTATACTTTAAGACCACTTATATTTCACATAATTTTCTTTTTACCGTCAACGTTTAAAGTTGATTTCAACTACTTAATCTACTTAATTTTCTGTCCCATCTCTTATAGGTATGTTTTACTCTTCTTATTTTCTGTCATTTCTAACTGAATAATAAAACGCACGTTTTTCAGTGGAAACAGATCTCACATAAATGTGTACTTTACGGTATTCCTTATAATTATTACAGGAACCCAGTAGATGGCGCTTTACAACTAACTGTTGGCATACCGCCAGTGATAAAGAATACGGTCGTCAGCAAACTGCAGTAGTTGGGTTGGACAGACAAAAGTGTCCTTATACCTTCTGATTTGAACAAAGTGTCATTGCATTGGTTCAACATTTGATATTTAGAGGAACACTCTGCAACACACGGGATTAGATTGTAGTATCGAGATTTAGGACTTGCAACTTAAAATAAAAGTTTTAATCAGTTTTTTGGGTTGCTCCAATATCCATACGTACAATATATTATAACTCTGTGCAAGATCCTGCTTAAAAGTTACCTTTTTTTTGCCATGTTGAAAGCTATCCCAATATGTTATAGACTTATACTTTTGAGCACATATTTGATGACGCCGACTAAAAGTGAAAAGATTCAGACAAAGCCACCACGTAAGTAACTATATTTAGTTTTGTCAAAA